AAAAACTTTCTTCGCAATATTGTTCTAAATTATGGCAGGAATCGATTGGTAAATGTTTCAAGTCGCTAAGTGGTCTGGTTGCCGAGATATGGGCTGCATTTTTTCGAGTTTTTTTGGCTTTTCCGGGAAATCCAGGAAGGAATATCCGGGAATTTTTTTGGCCCACAATCATCCTCGGAACTTGCTTAACATATTTGCTTTTGAAACTAGTCCTCGATATTGCTTCGTTGAGGAGGAGATACGACTTAAAGCTGCGGACACACATCCATCCATCCATCCATCCATCCAAGAAATAACGAATTAATAATCGCAATTGTCAGTATGGAAATTGCGCTAAAAATATGAATCAAGAAGAGGTCATCACATGCCTTTAAAATTTAAATTGTAAAACATGGAAAACCTTTCTTTCGTTGATTTTATTGAAATGTAAATGTTATTAAGACATAACTTTCTCACTAAAAGTAATTAAGTTTTGTTTTAATATTCCTGCCATTTTGATTTTGTAATGATAGTGGGCAAGTGAGGCACATTATTTCCCTTTTACTAGGTAATGTTTATTAAAGGGAAGCTATTCTATCAAGACCATGTTAGTCTAGAATTATAAAGTGTATTTGAGTAGGATTATTAAGAAGTAGATTACCTCCGCCTCGACTCTCCATAACAATTACACTAAATGGGGGGCGGGGGGGAGGGGGGTTCGGGTCGTGGTGGTGGGGGGGGGGGGGTGGTCGAATATCTCGTACTGATGAGAAATAATGCATCAGGCGTCTGTTATGCCACCTAACGAAAATATGTATAGGGATCGAGCAGATATATAACACACAAATATCACGACACCTACCAGGTATAAAGATTACATAATATTCCTTAGTCCACCAACTATATTTTTTAATTTGTTTCATTATAAGTTAAAATTATGATTCTCAAATTCTCATTTGCCTTTCTTTATTGTGTACCGAGATTATTCTCTATATACATATACTGTACTTTATCGTTTTAGTAAAATAGTGTTAAGCGAGTATCGAGAATCGTGCAAAAGATAGGTAGCTTTGCGCCATCTTCTAAAATTTTAGTCTGAAGGTCAACATGACATCCAGCCAAAACCAGCAGCCTATTCTCAAACTGATCAATCCAGTGTTTCTTCCAGACTTTTTTCCGACTTGAAATATTTTTTTGGAGGTGGGGGAGGAGGGGGTGGACACTTAAAAAGTATATATTTTCTATATAAATTCCATTTCGTTCGGGAGGGGGGAGGGGTGGTAGACTTTCTGATGCCCGAAAGAAACATTGGATTAGTCAAACACGTGTATTTTACGCTTCATTGACCGTCCAACAAAAACTACCAGAAATATTTGTCTTCTTCTTCGTTCTTAATTTTTAGTGTTGGGAGGGATCGAGCCTTATCTGCCAGAGGGTTTGAACTCGAGACTTTTCGGTTTAGCAACCATGAGCGTTACCGACTCGACCACGCCGATTCCCCAGGTGATGTTGATTTAAGGAAATATTTGTATATACTGGCAATGTTAACGATAGTCACCCCTCCCTCTATCAAGGTGTTTGCAATGTGCAGTCAGTCATAAATAGAACCCCTTCTCCCCCCCCCCCCCACACACACACATGTTTGACGGAGGATAATAATAATAAATCCTAATCCTTACCAGAACGAATCAACAAACCTACACTGATGTAGCATAGTTAAATTGCATGTTGTTTAATCAACGTCTCTAACACCAGTTGATGTTTTAGTGAGGTTAAAAAATACATCGAATACATTTTAATATTTTTTTCCTGACCTCAACTTAACCCTAACAGTGTATCAACTTCATCGAGGGCTGGGCCATTGTCCGGTCACATGACACGGGGTATCCAATACAGGACAGGAATGTAGCTAGTTCACTGGCCGTCCGGAGTGAAATGACATGTTGACATTGTTAGCAGACACTACTGGCATTGATTGATTTTAGAACTTGATACCATCATTTTTATGATTGTTACCATGGATAGATAGAGAGAGAGAGTGAGAGAGAGAGAGAGAGAGAGAGAGAGAGAGAGAGAGAGAGAGAGAGAGAGAGAGAGAGAGAGAGAGAAGGTGAGAGAATAATAACAATGAGTTTATACACAACCACTAATGGGTTGTGATATGCACAAATCTGCCAAACGGCAGAATTTCTGTCTTCTAATCTCATCTATATATGTCTCACGTGTATCTGTAAAATAGGACAGGGCCAACTACTTATATTATACCATTCCATTCCACATCTCTGCCTGCATAACTGAGCCTTTACGACTTATCAAACAGAAGACAACGCCCCTGGAATCATGTGACTAGCGTGACCTACTTTAAACTTTTTTTTTCAGGGGGAAAAAAACTGCATCACGAGGTACAAAATGTCGTCTGCTAGCCGTTCTGTGTGAACTAGACACACAACTACCTCACGCAACACACCATGAGAACAGTTGACTAGAGGCCATAGATATTAGATAAGGTTTGATATAGATCTACACATATTTCCTAGTCCTATTTCAGTTAAAAACATAATTTATTTGATTTTAACAGGCTGTTGAGTGAAGCAAATCGGTAACCAGCCAGTTTTAGCATCAGATTTTAAACTGAACACAGCACTAGATCTAGATCTAGTACTAGATCTAGATCTAGTAGGTTACGTCATGTTTTTAGGTCAAAGTTGAGATACAAGTATAAATAGTTGGATTATAGAGCGGGTTGGTTTAAATGTGGACTCTTAACATCGTATCCTGTAATCACGACACAAGGGGAGGTTATATTTGGACAACCTCACACGTAGATGTAAATACTAGTACGATAAACGGCAGCTATCGTCTGGCTAGGCAAAACATAAGATTTTAACAGGCCAGTAGTTTTTGTTACTGGATGTTAGGTAATTAATTTCTAGCTGTGTAAATCTTTTTTTTTTCAACTTGAAGCAGACATAAAGTGACGTGAGAGGCACGTGTTTAAGGCAATCACGTGATGATGATTCTCCCCCCCCCCCCCCCCCCCCCCCCCCCCCAAACACTTTCTCGTCCATCACACTGCACATAATCTAGTTACACAACACATTTTATTTATGTCGGCCTGTTACACGTTAACACGATCGTCTATTAAATGAGGTTATTCTGTCACAAGAGGGGGAGACTGGGGGGAGGGGGGGGTCAGAAATGGATGTCCTAGCCTGTCTGCCCATCGTCTGATATGCATTGTTCCATTTGCAAAGTGGTTACGTTGCTACCACAACAACGACAATCATGTTGAGATTTAAGGGTGACAAAGACGTGTCTTAACTTCGTATTTTATGTTTGAATCAAATCCATACACGGAATAGCATTGTGTCCGAATCAAATCTATTTAGCCATACACCGAACCAGTGGCGTAGCGAGGTCGGGTGTCACCCGGTGCGGCACTTAATGGTGTCACCCCCCAGGCGTAGCGACCCTTCCCGGGGACAAACTTTCACATTTTTGCACCTCCCCCCTCAAACTTTCGATTTGCACCCCCCCTCAAATTTTTTTTCTATATATTTTGCTATTTTTTGCCTTTGTGTCACCCCCCCCTAAATGGTGTCTCCCAGTGCGGTCCGCACCCCCCCCCCCCCCCCCCCCCCCCCCCGCTACGCCTCTACACCGAACAGCCATGTGTTAGAAGCTGGCTCAGATGGGTGTTCAATATTGGGTTAGGTCGAGTAAGCCGTACCCCCCCCCCCCCCCCCCAACAAAATATAATTTATTTAGAACATATATACTTTTACCATTGTCCGGCTCCCCCGCCCAGGAAAATATAGCTCCCCCCCTGAAAGTTTCAAGTGCTCTCCCTTCCCCCGGAGAAAAAAAGTCTGAAAGAAACACTGGTTGCAGCAGTAACGAGATCGTGCAGTAGATCGATAAGTTTGTTCAAGGATCGGATATTGATGATGTTTTATTTCCGAATATGATGAGTAGTGACAACACATTTAACTAATGGTGAATACGGCCTGTTTTAAAATAACGTTAACATTTACTGTTTAAATTTACGTTATTTATCGCTTCCCTAGAAACAGAACATTCAAACTTCCCTTTTTGAGAATGTTCACAACAAGAAATGTTAAATGTTAAACGTTTTTGCCTTGATGCCTAGGTGGATTAGAACACATCGGTGTATAAATCTCGAAAAAAAAGGAAAATTATCAACAGTTGCCCGAGTTCCTGTTAGACTTTTCTCTTGCGGGACGGGGGTGGGGAACTAGGGTTAGGGTTAGGGTTACCCCGCCTTACCCTACTTACTTCCGGAGAGGGGTCGGACAATGGGTGTTGATTTATTGGATTTTAAAAAAATTCACGCTATACAGTTTTATAAGTTATGAAATACGAATTAAAGAGGAAAAAAAAACTTTTAGGAGAAAAATGTGCAGACGGGAGGAGAAACGAACGTCCTTGACCTTTGGTGCACCCACACTGGTGGATTTGTGGGTCACACGAGCATGTGACTGAGGGAAGGGGCAGGGGTGGAGACATGACCCCCCCCCCCCTTTCCACATCACGCGCTGTTGTATATACGTCAGAGAAGTACCCCCCCCCCCCCCCCCCACCTCTCCTCCCTAGAAAAAAAACAACATTAAGGGCCATGCTTCTTCCAGATTTTTCTTTTCTTTAAAATATTATTCACCTCCTTTCCCCTGGTATATAAAGTAGATCTGTGGCGTCGAGTCTTGTCTGAGTGCTGCGCGTGACGTGTGTATGGTGCTTGACTTCTGCTACCCTGACGTCTGGAGTATTAGGTCAGGAAAACTGTTTGCTATCTCTCGATTTCTGGGATATATCCACCCAGTAGGGGAAACTGTTAATTCTCTGTCTCATTGATATATCCATTCAGGTAAGGAAAAAAATTATTTCTTCTTTTTCACAGTGACAGACATGAGTAAGAAATCAATTTTACCTAACTCTTCTATTTAAATATAGTGATATTGTCTTCCTCTTCTTTTTATAGAAAGTATAGTATTACTCTAAGTTTTGGCTAAAAAAAAAAAGACTAGTTTTGATTTAATTGTAAAATTTTTAGTTGGTAATAGTGAATTCCAGCCTATTTTGTTTTCACAAGCGTTCATTGAACTTAATTTCTCCTCCATCCATTCATAAAAGTGCAAATATGCGAACGAAATTTCCCCCAAACCGATTTGCATTAAATTTGAAACGTAGTTGACATTGCTGTAGGCATGATCCTCAACGTAATCGAATATTTAATTAATTGATAAAACAAATGTGATTGCTTTAATTATATTTAAAAAACAATCATTAAATTTTGGGGTCATCCGTAAATTACGTCATGATTTTTACCTCCCCTCCTCCCCTCCGTCACACTTCATCGCAAAAAGCCAGACTTCACCCTCTCCAAAAAATTGACGCCACACATCAGCATACAACCCCTCCCCAACACCCTCAAAATAGCTGTTTTATTTGTATTACCGCTGTGAGCATCAATTTCTATTACAATTTACAAAAACAGTTTTCTAAAACGCCAAGTTTAGCTTCAAACATTACGTTTAAAAATGCAAGTGTGACGTCATACTTTTTAAGCCCCCCTTCCCCCTCGTCGCACATCGTCACAAAATTCCGATCCCCTCTCCCCCTCCCCCCAACCAAGTAATGTGACGTCATTTTTGGAAGACACCCCCTTTTAAAATTTTAATGTATACTTTTTTTTGTTTAATAAACGGTTTTTAATATAGGCTACGTAGCAAATAATTCAAACCTGTTTAACTTTAGTCCGCAAGCTATTACGCTAAAAAACAACAATAGTAAACAAAACCAAATTAAATTAAATAGTACCATTGCTATGTAACTGATTACATAATGTAAGTATGTATGAGGACACAGGTTATTGTTGAACATAATTTCATTCAGATGTGTTTACACATTCTGTAATTAACCAACACTTTCTATTCATCTGGTTTGGTTTGTCTTGTGCAGTTTCTTCCAGGCATCTCTTCGGTGGGGGGGGGGGGGGGGGCTACCGAAGAAATTCTAAGCTGTTTCATGGTGGATTTTTTTTAAAATAATGACTTAATAATCAATCAAACATCCCCCCACCCCTGAAATTTGACTAAATGAAACCACCAGTAGGCCTATAATGAATTGGCATTTTTATTTTCGAAATATTCGGTTGCGCATTTTCCCATTGCGCATTTTTCTGGGAATTCCCACATATTGTTACACAAGTAGACACTTTATGAACACTTTTGTAAGAAGTTGGTCAAGTTTACTTTGATCTATAAAACACCGGTAGGACAATATTGAATGGCGCGGTTATTTTTCTCCACCCGGATCTCTGTTACGGTCAGTGGGATTAGGATTATCTAGGGTGTAATAGCGCTGCGACAAGGGGTTAGTTAGATTCGGCTTTAAGCTTCAAAGTTTGAGTTAATACTAGATCTAGATTATGGTAAAAAAAACAACATAATTTCGTTAAAATGTGCTTTTGTAAAGAGTAGGCCTCATGTTTTTAGGTGCGATTTCACGTTCTGGTAAAAATTGGGTTTTGTAGAATGGCTCTCTGTTTCCAAATACGGTCTTGATCTGATACAACACATATGGATCTATCCACAGCTACCCAACTTGTAATGATATACACATATGGATCTATCCACAGCTACCCATTATGTAATGATATACACATATGGATCTATCCACAGCTACCCAACTTGTACTGATATACACATATGGATCTATCCACAGCTACACACCTTGTAATGTTATACACATATGGATCTATCCACAGCTACAAACCTTGTAATGTTATACACATATGGATCTATCCACAGCTACCCATCTTGTAATGATATACACATATGGATCTATCCACAGCTACCCAACTTGTACTGATACACATACGGATCTATCCACAGCTACCCAACTTGTACTGATACACATATGGATCTATCCACAGCTACCCAACTTGCACTGATACACATATGGATCTATCCACAGCTACCCAACTTGTACTGATACACATACGGATCTATCCACAGCTACCCATTATGTAATGATATACACATATGGATCTATCCACAGCTACCCAACAGAGAAATGTATATCTGGTCCAGTCTGACACTTACGATATTGTGTGTATGGCTTGTGCAGTCCTCGGTGCTGTTGTATTCATCGGAACAACAACCACAACAACAACCACAACAACAGCAGCAACAGCTATACCAGGTAGGTAGGCTAGTTCAGTCCTCGGTGCTTTTGCTTTCATCTGAACAACAATCACAACCACAACAACAACAGCAACAACCACAACAACAGCTACACGAGGTAGGTAGTCTAGTTCAACCCACGGTATTGGTGTATTCATCGGAACAACAACCACAACAACAGCAGCAACAGCTACACGAGGTAGGTAGGCTAGTTCAGTAATGGTTGCTGTTGTAGTATTCATCGGAACAACAACCACAACAACAGCAGCAACAGCTAACAACAACAGCAACCACAACACGAGGTAGGTAGGCTAGTATTGATGGCGTAGTCCCCCATCCCGCCTCAGGGCCGAAAGCGTGAGCTGAATTATAATATAATAATTTGTGTGCCTATGTTCACAATGTCATATTTTACCGTTTAGAAATGTAAATATGCCTCTACCAATCTTTTTTCCCCATTATTTCATTTTTCATATCCTTCGAGTTTTCAGTGTTAGTATATTATTTAAGTGTGTATCACTACTATCTCCATCATTGAGAGGACCAATATAGATTTTCAAATATTATTTCTTCGGACGTGTGCCTCCTTTCATTATTATCTGTGCCTATACTCTATATCGCTAATAAAATAGAGAAAGCATACGTTTCATTAGTTAAAAATGTATTTAAGTCAATGGGTTCCTTAATGTTTGAAGTTTTAATGAATAGTAATATATAATTTAGAAAACGTTTAAGTTAATAGAATGTTTTAAAATCTTTTAAAGTAGGCCTGATAAAACAAACGTATGCATTAAAATGGTATTAATTATATTCGTATGTCATATCGTTCGATGTTGTAAAAAGCAATTGTTTTATTTTATATACGTTTTGTAAAGAATGTAATAAAAAATAATTAGGCGACATCGCATTTTCAAGAAATCATTTGGTAGTTTTGGGTTAAATTATTCCCCTTATAAAAATTATTTGAGTTGTTGCCCCTATCAAAGCAGTGACCGTAAACAGGATAAAGGCTGTAAGCGTCTAAATACGTTTTGACAGGACCTGTTGGTCCAATGGTAAAACTTCTTGACATCGTGTGTCAAATTATTTTTGTAGGTTGGCTGATTTTACAGAAACCTAATAATGAAAATGCAAAAAAAAAAAAAAAAAGTAAATTACAGGGAGGCGCCAAATTTACCATTTCACTTTCTCTTTCTCTCTTTCTACCTACATATAAAGGCATTATAAATAGGTTATGTATACAGACCCTTTATGCTATATGTATATATATATAGGTTAAAAAAAATAATATATATATATATATATATATATATATATATATATATATATATATATATATATATATAATCTATATATATCTATATATATCTATATATATATATCTATATATATATATATATATATATATATATATCTTACAGGTAACAAAGACAAAAGGTCCAGAGGTGGATGACAAAGTATATCTGTTTGCTGCTGATGGGAAGAGAAAGCCATACAGTTATATGTGAGAGACATTCACATTAGTAGAAATATGTAGGCCTACAAGACATTCACATTTATTGCCAGATGTACAAGACATTCACATTTAAGGCCATCTTTACAAGACATTCACATTTAAGGCCGTCTGTACAATACATTCACATTTAAGGCCATCTGTACTAGACATTCACATTTATAGTATAGACCAGGGGTCGGCAACCGCATGCGGCTCTTTTGATATCAAGATGTGGCTCTCCAGCTCCTTGAACAAATACTAATAATCTTAATAAAAAAATAAAATATTTGAAATTTAAAACAAATGTTAGTGGCTCTTTAAAACCAGGGAAATTTTAAAAATTGTAACTTTTGGCTCTTCCGCTTCAAAAGGTTGCCGACCCCTGGTATAGACCAAATGTACAAGACAACCATACTTATAGAGAAGATGTAAGAGACAATGATACATTCACATTTAAATCAAACATGTTGACAAATTTATACATTTCATGATTAATAGTAAGAATTATGGAATAAAATCTGTTGTGTATTATAAAAGTCTATGTTATGTGTAGGCCTATGTAGTAATTTATATAAAGCATTTAAAATTTATTTTACCAATTTTTTGGGTTTCAGTAACGATGTTGGAACATTAATTGGCTTTGATGTAGATTTTGTAAATGAAGGTAAAGACACTTAAATTTGCATTTGTTTTTACATGGTTAAGTAAGTTAAATCCTTTAATAATTTCACATATTTCAAACTATTTGACACAACTTGTTGGCAGCTAGCATAAATTTTAAAAGAATACTTGCTAAAAATACGAAGACTATGATTTATGATTTATCATATAATTATATAAGAGCTCATCTATAAATGACGTTATGCATTTGCTGATTATTGTTGACCCCCCTTTCTTCCCCAACACACATTGTTGCAACATTACAACCCACCCCCCCCACCCCCCTTGGAGTGTGACATCATTTATGGATTACCCCTAATTAAACTTCTACTGCTGATGTAATGATAGTGCAAAAGTTTTTTGTAATTTATCTTGAATAAAGTCATTATGCAGTTTTAGTGAATACTGAAATTCTTAATAAAATTAAAATAAAGAATTAAAGGAATCTAATGATTATCAAAGAATGCCTTTTTAAATTTTCAGTATGTGCGTTAGTGGGAAAAAAATGTCACATCATTTTGGCTGAGTTTACAGAATGTATTTACACTGACAGGTCTATAGACTATGCTGGAAGAGGTAGGAAGATTTTTTAATGTGAATTCTGTTGTTGTTACAATGTGTGGATGTATCTTTTATTAAAATCTTATTTTTTTCTTGTAAATGTGTGATGTATAATTTGTTAAAATATGAATTTCATGTTGTTGTTACAATGTGTGGATGTATCTTTTATTAAAATCTTATTTTTTTCTTTTAAATGTGTGAGGTATAATTTGTTAAAATGTGAATTTTATGTTGTGAATATGTTGGTGTACAGATTTGAACATTGATGTTTAGTGTTGAGGTTTCTCCTGCTCATGTGTAAATAGTTTGTTGTTTGCTGGTTATTGACACTAATGATTAATACCTAATCTTAATTAATTTAGATAATGGAGAAGATATATACCAAATAATCCCCAATAATGAGGAACTAACAATTCTTTTATTCAAACAATCAAGTGACTATTTAAAGCATTTGCATATTAAAATTCTATTTCCTGTAACATTTTTATCAATGTTGGTCTCACCCATCCCCAGGTTTGATGGCCCGTTGGTTTGATGGGTGCCCGGGTTATGCCATAACCACAGACAGACTGAATGAGTTTGACTTCACCCTCCCTTACCTTGATGGAGCTTCCACCTTTGCAGTCCTGCCTGGCAACCCACCTAAGTTTGATCCTCTTAGTGATGATTATTCACATTTTAACATTGGTAAGGATGCATTTAGTGATGATTATTCACATTTTAACATTGGTAAGAATGCACTTAGGGGCAAATATTCTCAGTCTACGCTGTGAAGCTTGTGATCTTCTGAACTACAAACACTAATCTTCTAGTAACATTTTTACTAATACTTGTAGTGGGTATGATATGGATAAAATGTCACAGTAATTTTAATATACAAACTAGTAATTGTAGTAGTTAACCTCTTGTTTTATTTAGACTTAGGTAAAAAACAAGAGCTTAAAATGAAAGTCAGTCCTTATTAGGTTTTTGAAACTGCTCCTCATTTTTTTTAATACAAACTCATTCTTGTTTGCCCATTTTCTTTTATCATGTGAATTTAGTAATAACTACCCTACAAACATTGTTTTTAGTGTAATTGTAGAGACGTTTAAATGCCAACAACAATCATTTTCATATTTTTAACACTTGATCTTATTTTTTTTATTATTTTAATATAAAAGTTTAAATAACAAAATTTCCTTCCTCTATTCAACAGTACATCTGACTGGAGCCCCCACTAATGAACCCTGTCTCAGGAGACTGCACAAGAAATTTGGAAAAATCATCATAGCTAGTGACCTACCAGAGGCTAAAATGTTGCTACTGAACAGAACAGTGAGTTGGTTATTTTAGATATATAGACAAGTATATATAATAGTTTTGGCAGACTTTCTATATTCTCCTATATTTAGTCAGATGCTCTATTTTCTCTACTATTTCAGGCAATTTTAAATGTTTCTTAGTATTTCAGGCCAACGCTCAATGTTTTCAGTATATCAGACCAGTCTTCAATGTTTTCAATATTTCAGGCTGATGTCCTGTTCTCCCCAAGAGAAAGGATTGATGGTCTTGAAGTGTTGCCAAACCAAGTGAGGTGTGACAGAAGTGGTGCTGGCATCATGCTGAAGAAAGGCAGCACTGTGCCAACCTGGTGGGACCCTGCCTTCAAAACTCTTTATTTCTCTGGCAGCTACAACCGGCTCTGTGAAGAAGCCTCAAAGAAATACGAAGGTGTGTTTATTATACAAGATACTTACATAGTTTTTTTATTGTTTTATGATGTATATGTCGCAACTAAACAATTTTTGAAAAAAAGGAAGAAATTAATGCAAAAAAAACTTTATAATTATTATAATTTATAAAGTATGATAAAAAACTAACTAACCATATAATAATATAAGGAACCAATTTTTAAACCCTATAACTTGTTTAAATGATTGAATGGTCAAACTTACCCTGTGAATATTATCAAATGATGTTTTCAGCTCCAATTCACTGTCTACCTGGCCCTGATAAAGCTAGTCCGGAACTTCTGGCCATCATGAAGCGCAGACCTCGCATTGTAAGGATGCTTGTTAGCTCAATGACTGGTGTCTTGTTATGTCATACATATTGAGTACATTTTAAACAAAATAAAAATAATCATAAAAAAATTATTGGAAGTCAACAAAAAAAACCAACTATAAGTAAACCAAGGACCAACTTCACTTAAATTTGAATTTATTAAATATCTTCAGGTACCAGAAAAACTTTGGACCTTTGTTGTTAGTGGAAGAATTGCTCCATACAGCTATTTGTAAGTACTGAAAACTTTGTACATAGTTCTAAATGTGTTTGTATAGAAAGTCTTCTGTACATGTATTGAATGATGGCATTTAGTTTCTTGAATGTGAGTTGTTGGGGCGTAGGTTTGTCTACATTACTGCCCAGATGTCCAGGGGGTGTGCTGTGTTAAAATTTTGAGCATACATTTATCACCCACCATAATGGTGAGGTCAAAGACACTAGGGGACCAACCATGCATCAAAGGCATCGCTGGGTGCTGGTGAGTCACCAGGTACACTACCACAGTGTTTGGTTCCCTGATAATTCAAAAATGTGGTTGATCTGCCCCTGTGATAATTGAAAAATGTGTTTATGCCAGACACCTTTGCAGGAGTGTACTTAACACATTAGTGAAGTTACAAGCCAATCTAATGATTGGTTAGGAATGCATAAAGTATAAGCAGATGACAGATAGACAGAATTACATTCCTTTATATATTCATTTATATCAAATATAAATAAAATTTATAATTTTCTTACATATTTAATGAAATATTTTATTTATTGTATAGAAACCAGGAGGGTGAATTGGTTGGCTTCACAAAAGATCTCTTGTCCATAGGTATAGTAGCTTTTCCCATTCAATTTTAGTTCTAAAGCAAAGAAATAATGGCATCTATATAAAATCAAAGAAATCAATAAGAAAATTCTTGTCATAAGTAAAGCCTATAGGGTGGATACTATCCAGACTGAGTACTTTATCCTGACATGAATCCACTGCTATTTTCAGTTTGTGCTAAGGCAGGTAAATCTTGTTCACTTCTGCTGGCTGGAGTTCCTGAGTGCAGTGTTAGGAAAGGGGAGATACTCTATCCAGGCAGAGGTTAGTTTTTATTTCAAAACAGAGTACCTGAATATTAAAAAATATTAAATTACCAGCAGTAGAGGCGTAGCGACCCTTCCCGGCGCCCGGGGACAAACTTTCAATTTGGCGCCCTCCTCGGCAGCAAATTTTCAATTTACACCTCCCCCCCCCCTCAAACTTTTGATTTGCACCACCCCCCCCCCCCCTCAAACTATTTATAATGCAAAAATGCAGCTAAAATGACATTTTAATTTGTTTTTACAACCCATTTTGTCACCCCATAAGGTCGGCGCCCCCCCCCCCCCCCCCCCCCCCCCCACCGCTACGCCTCTGACCAGCAATACAAATAATAAACATAATTAGAACTGTCAAAAGATGGTTATGTTTTATATTTTAAAATAAAGAAAATAAAATAGAACCTAGTTTAAGAATTTATAATCTAATCAATTTTATATAAATTATTAGTCACGTGAATAAAAATCACACTGCTAAATATATAATTGTGTCTGAATCTACTTTAACAGGTCTAATGGAAAACTGGTTTGATGCTTGCACTGGGTACTTTGACACACTGGACAGAGATAACAGCTGGGACTTTACTCTGCCATACCTGGTCTCATATGCCTCCTTCTATGTTGCCAAGGGCAACCCCAGTGGCTTCAACCCTGATGCCTCAGACTACTCCCTTTACACTATTGGTAAATTATCTATTCTAGTACAGACTTGGTTGTAGTTCTGAATCAGTTAAGATGATTACTAAATTATAGCCAATATTAAACAAGAAATTTGAACAAAACTTCCATTGTGAAAATTTGATTTATAAATTTAAAAAATTTCTTATACTCATGCATTGTTTTTATAGTTTGTAATAACAGATTTGACTTTTAACTTTTTATTAACGCAGTTTGATGCACAAGTTTTGTTCCAGATGTAACCCATGTTGTCTAGTGTATACAATATTCAGCCTACAATGATAGAAGTCAATTTGCTTGTCTGTTCTGTTTTAGCTTGGTAAAGCAAGAAATTTTTGTTTGTTTTAGTTTACACAGAGACCTCCATCTCCAATGATCACTGTCTGAACAGGCTACACAAGAAATACAAAAAACTTGTTGTGGTCCCAGATAGGCCGGATGCTATCGCTATGTTGCTGAATGGATCTGTAAGTTTTTCACAGGGGTACATAGAGTTAATTCTTAATTAAACTTGACAGTTACTCCATTTTATTAGCATTTCTAATGGTACAATTAGCTTAACTACTCCCCCAATTCATAACTGCAGATCGTATGAGCTTTATTTTCATGGCTTTTATTATATGAACATGTGCAGTTAAATAGGAAACTGAACAGTTTTTTGAAAATTGAAAGTATTTTAGAGATAAGACTTTAGATCTGTTTTTAATTAAAAAGTTAAACAATAACCACTAGGAGGATGCTTGGTTATTCTCTCTGAGCCAGGATCACCTCTCAATATGTTAAGTAAATCTAAAAGAATTCATCAAAATCAAATTATTTAAATTCAGCCTAATTTCTTAGAATCTGTAAAAAGTTCCTGAGTCCACTCAGCTCTGATGGGTACCTGACTCATGTTAGGGAAATTAAGGTGCTGGGTATAGTGCTGATCACACTATACCGTTGTATGTAAAGGTCATTAAAACAGATGAACTCCTCTTCATCACATGTCAAAATGATTAGATACAGTTTAATCATTAGTCACAATTATAATTACATTGCACAAAAGCTTGGCTTACAAAAGATGATGACTTTCTTTTAATGGGAAGAAAGTAGACTCCAACTAAGATGGGCAGGCTACACTCTAAGTGATACAGGTAAAACGAACTACTTCCTAACCAAAAGCCAACCTGTTCTCTATGACAATGTCTCCAGGCTGATGCCTGGTTCACTAAAGACGACGGCTCACCAGACATTGAACTTTTGCCCCAACATTTCCACTGCGAGAACGTGGGCACCAGCATCATGACAAAGAAGGGGGGAGAACTGCCCATGTGGTGGAACCCAGCTTTTGAAGAGTTCTACAACTCTGGGGAGTACAACGACTTTTGTCTGGAGAGGGGAAAACACTACAAAAGTAAGTTCTTTGTCTTGGTTCAAAACACTAGTATAAAACACTACAAAAGTAAGTTCTTTGTCTTGGTTCAAAAGATTATAAAACACTACAAAAGTAAGTTCTTTGTCTTGGTTCAAAACACTAGTATAAAACACTACAAAAGTAAGTTCTTTGTCTTGGTTCAAAACAACATTATAAAACACTACAAAAGTAAGTTCTTTGTCTTGGTTCAAAACACTAGTATAAAACACTACAAAAGTAAGTTCTTTGTCTTGGTTCAAAACACTAGTATAACATACTACAAAAGAAAGTTCTTTGTCTTGATTCAAAACATTACAAAAGTAAGTTCTTTGTCTAACTTCAAAAGATTATAAAACACTACAAAAGTAAGTTCTTTGTCTTGATTCAAAACACTAGTATAACATACTACAAAAGAAAGTTCTTTGTCTTGATTCAAAACATTACAAAAGTAAGTTCTTTGTCTAACTTCAAAAGATTATAAAACACTACAAAAGTAAGTTCTTTGTCTTGGTTCAAAACACAGTATAAAACACTACAAAAGTAAGTTTTTTGTCTTGGCTCAAAACAACATTATAAAACACTACAAAAGTAAGTTTTTTGTCTTGGTTCAAAACACTAGTATAAAACACTACAAAAGTAAGTTCTTTGTCTTGTTTCAAAACAACATTATAAAACACTACAAAAGTTGGTTCTTTGTCTTGGCTCAAAACAACATTATAAAACACTACAAAAGTAAGTTCTTTGTCTTGGTTCAAAACTACATTAGATAACACTACAAAAGTAAGTTCTTTGTCTAGGTTCAAAACACTAGTATAAAACACTACAAAAGTAAGTTCTTTTTCTTGGTTCAAAACAACATTATAAAACACTACAAAATAAGTTCTTTGTCTAATTTCAAAAGATTATAAAACACTACAAAAGTATTTTGTCTTGTTTCAAAATAACATTAGAAAACACTACAAAAGTAAGTTCCATGTCTAGTTTCAAAACACTTATGTATTACACTACAAAAGTTAGTTTTAAGTTCTAACCAGACAACATAAAGATATGATATGATTATAGAATAGGTGTATCTTGCTTTAAACATTTTAAACAGGTATAAGTATAGATATATATTATTATAGATTATTATGTAAACTAGATTTGCAATAAAAATCACACACTTATCAGAATGTAGTATTCACAAGCCATACACTGCAGGTTAGTTATGGAATGAAATGAAACTATTATTATACACAAATATTTTCACAGATGACTTCCCTTGTTTGCCTCCACCATCAGAGAAAAAACTCCACAAATCTCAGGAAGGATTTTAATTGTAAACAAAGAGAGAGAGAATGTGTGTGTTTGTTGATTTGGTTAAGTGTTTGGTTTTCTACTTTTATTACTGTTTTTTTTTAAATTGTAAAATATTTAATTTTTGCAAATGCCTTACAGTCAGATTTTATAAATTGTTAATTAACAAATTGGTTTTTTATTAATTTTCAAAATGTTGTTTACCAAAGTAACCTTATATTAAATTCTGTGCTCAAAATTAAGGTAATTCATTAACATGTTTCAAATGTTTTTGTTTTACTATTTTACTTCTGATTTTAAGAAAAAATTTGAACTAAAATCCAATAAAAAGATTCCCAGATTAGATTGGATATAAAATCAGAAAAACAATCTTTTGTTTATAAAATGAGAAAAACAAACTTTTGTTTATAAAATCAGAAAAACAAACCTGTCATTATTTAGAATTTTTTTTCAAAATTTAATGTTGTATTCTAAATAAATGTACAAAAGTATAATCCTTGTTTTATACCATTCCTACTCGTATTATTGTACTTGAGTCACTACTTTTAACATTTTTTTTCATATTTGAAAAATACATTTGTGAATGTTAAATTCTTTATTGAATGAGTCAGTGTTGCATTTTTTCATGAGTTTACCATTTTTATGCTCATAAAATATAAAATAAATGACAGTTTAAACTAAAAAACCTGGGGTATTGAGGTGCAGGTAGATGTAAGTATTGAGGCTGTAGTTAGATGTAAGTATTGAGGCTGTAGGTAGATGTAAGTATTGAGGCTGTAGTTAGATGTATTGAGGTATAGTTAGATGTAAGTATTGAGGCTGTAGTTAGATGTGAGTTGACGAGGAAGGAAATTATGACTATACTTCCACTTAAACCAGAACATGCGATGATGCAATCCCTAGAAGACTGAGACAATCAAGATCTAGAAACATCTAGAAGCGCATGACTCCGAAGTTCGAAAGTAGGTCACTCACACAAACAATCGGCCACGCGGTGCAGCACACATTTTGGTACTACAATTTCTATGAGATCAATCCTGTGCATCCATCATCATACCCTAGTGGGATTCACTTGCTACATTTTCGTTTACACCATTTGTAAAACAAATCTTGTTTTGTGTTAAAATAATTGAAGCTATCCCACTGGGGGGGGGGGGGGGTGTCTGAATTTTGAGACAATGTGTCTGTGGGAGGGGGGGGGGGGTGGGGGGTAGGATGTGGCGGATAAGTAAATGGGATACAGCAATAATTTAAGATTAGGGAGTGAAGGGTTTAAATGAGGTTTGAAAGCGTGACGTCTTTGAAGGTTGACATTCTATTGAATTCGCCAAAATATTGTAAATAGGCCTATATGTTTTTTCTGGGTGAGAAAATTAAGTTTAAATAAAAATTCAAAGACCGTAGCACATACCATTAGTCTATGCTACCATCCCACATAACACAACAAAACAAAACGACACTCCACCAACATACCACCTTCCTGTTACACAGTTGATGAATAATTACACTAAAACAAACGTTAACCCAACTCTAGTCAAAACTAAGACACTACCAACGCGTAGCACAACCAGGGACGTAGAGAGTTTTTTAGGGAAGGAGATGATAAAGGGCCTATATATATATATATATATATATATATATATATATATATATATATATATATATATATATATATATATATATATATATGCAATAGAAATAGATCCCAAGAGATAGATCTTGTTGTAGCTTATAAGAGCGTTTTTCCATTTAGAATGATGCATGTGTATCACATTAATTAATTACCCCTTAACACCTGGCCTAAGTTTTAACACCGTTGAAGGCCTTTATATTTGATAAATTCTACATCCCACAAAAACAAAATGTAAAGAAAAAAGTTTCCAGTAACAGACATTTGTCAGAAAGATTAAATCGTCAGACAAAGAAAGGGAAACTATTTTTTGGAACTTCTGAGGAGACAGAGACCATGTTTTTGTAGCCGACTTTAGGGTAAGAAAATATAAAAAACGACATTTATGTTATTAATCAGGCTGCTAATGTGGACACGAATTTATATTACCTTGAGATAGTTGGAACACATACACATTTCTTCTTGCTACAAATTTGAAAATACTTGCCTTTTATAAAGTGTTTTTTCTTTCCAGTTTTGTTTGTGTACCTTTTATGTAGGGTTATAATTTTTAACAACAAAAATTAAAAGAAAATACAATTTTGAGCTACCTTGTATTTTTTTATTTAGCATATGAGGATATTTTAAAATTAAACTTAAATTAATTCAATTAGAAGGCCTAGTCTAAGATTGATCATAAAAAATAAAAATTGATATTTAGTTTGTTTTTGGGGTGTGGGGTATTAGACGGTGGGGTGAGGTAGGGGTGGTTGCCAATGTTCTTGATATTTGTCTTTATAAATTCCAAAATTAAAATGTGGGGTAAAGTGCTAAGATCCTCACTAATTGTTCAGATTAGTCTTTGATCTCAGGGGAGACAATCATTGACATTTGAAATCTAGACATGAATAAGGGAAGGGGGATAACTAGTAATACCCATCGTGTTTACACTCAATTTTCACCCTTCACTGCGGCCAGCGTCATTAGGTATGTTGATAAATAAGGGGGATGGGAGGGGGGGGGGCATGAATCACATACATTAATTGTCAGGTCCACCGGAGTAAATCACGTGACCAAACAACGAGCAATGACTGACTGTGTTTCCGTGCAACCATCTGGCTAAATCAGCCATTAACAAAAGTACTGATGAAGGCGAACAGAGAAAACACATGGCGCTACACGCAACAAATATGTGCGGACATCCACGAAGCGAGGCGGTGTGGTTTTAGTTCATGGGATCTAGCTGAAATCTACAGGCTGTGAGTTATAGTTCAGTGTGTGTGGTTTCTTTTATAGTGAATTCTCGGTCATATGTTTTTATTTTTGTTTTAATTAGTGGCACGTTTTTAATCACTTTACATATAGAGACAAATGGAACCAGCGACACTAAAATTTTAATCTGTAAAATAAATAATGCAAAATAAATAAATAAATAATAAATACTTTAATTAAATCATAATTTACTACTAAATAAATTTCATACTTGTTTTAAAATTTAAAAAGTATTTTATCCATAATTTTAAACATAAACAACGATACTGACAGTCGCACGTCAAATGTTACACCCTATTAGAAACAACACACTTGAAATTTTGTAATTCAAAGATACAATTTTTTACTAGCAAGAGGCGAAAATTACTTCATAATATTGTGATACGAATAAATAGATCTATCCTTTTAAAAAGTAAATAATATTTTTCCGTTAAAACATAAAATTTTCTAATGCTAATACATCATGTTATACATAACTAAAAAAGACGAAGATAATATGAAACTTGGTAGTGGGAAGATTGTATCGCTTTGGAAATTGCTAAAAGTCGAAAACCTCAGGCTGTGAGAAATATGAATATAATTAAACAAAACAGGATATTAAACATTTCGTAGTGCTTAGGACAGTGTAGATACAGACTATTAATAAAAGTTTGTATTTCATTGGTGATGAAAGAAGTTGTTCATGCCGCGTTAGATACTGATAATTACGGGTTAATTAAGCGTAGTTGGGTTAATTAATGGGGTGGAAACACATCACAAGACTCGGTCAGCTGATTAGCGGTGCACACGTACTCACATCAACAGACAAACACGGAGAACACACAGACAATTAGACAAATACAGACACACAAAGAAACATAGAGAAACAAAGAGAAACACCGACACAGAGAAATACAGTGAAACACAGACACCAAGAGAAACACACACTCGCCCTCATATGAATACACACCCATCTATATAGCCTCCATGTTTGCTTTCAGTTTGCCCCATATTTCTATAATATTTTCTCAATCACCCTACTTTTATAAGGTCTAAACATTTCTTTTTAAGGCTGTATAATTGAGCAGGGTTATGCAGAATAAATGAGTCTTTTTGTACTTTTCTATTAAGGCACACTAGGTGGCTTCTGATAGCATAACACATTGTACTGTTTTTAAAATGTTATAACTCACAAGCGTTATTAACAATAAATAAATAAATACTGCGGTCGCTTATGATATCCCAAATTTATAGTAACTTAACCATATGCCTGACTATATACGTGAACTTATCCCTATACCTATCCTTATCCTCGTAATAGTACCGGTTTAAACACCCACACCCACACCTACACCCAAGCTAAGCTTACACCTACAACTATACATATTCAGCTCTCGATCCCTATAGGATATAGGCCTACAGCCGTTTAGCAATGTACAAGTTGCATAGAATCTAGAACATTTTTTTAAAATCTGGGTTCGATCGAACCCCGGGCATTCGGCGAGTCAGTCTTATGTGTTGGGCGGCGGTCAAGACACACCCCGACTTTTTTTAAATTTCCGTTCAGACCAGAGTTTCTTCCAGGCATCGCTTCGGGAAGGGGGGGGGGGGGGGGGGGGAGCAGAACCCCCCCCCCGAAGAAAGTCTACCGCCCCACCGAAAGAAATGGAATTTATATAGAAAATATATACTTTTAACAGTGTTCGCCCCCCCCCCCCCCTCCCCGAATATTACAGTCCGCCCCATAGGTAGCTGTTGGGATTAACCTCCAAAATGGTTAAGTACCAATGATCTAAAAGTTAGATGTTACATTAACAGTAATTCTAAAAGTTATATAGAGTCTAAAAGTTTCACTGAATCTAAAAGTTCCACTGAATCTAAAAGTTTTACTGAATCTAAATGTTTCACTGAATCTAAAGGTTTCACTGAATCTAAAAGTTACACTGAATCTAAAAGTTACACTGAATCTAAAAGCTCCACTGAATCTAAAAGTTATACTGAATCTAAAAGTTATATTGAATCTAAAAGTTCCACTGAATCTAAAAGTTCCACTGAATCTAAAAGTTACATTGAATCTAACAGTTACACTGAATCTAAAAGTTACATTGAATCTAAAAGTTACACTGAATCTAAAAGTTACATTGAATCTAACAGTTACACTGAATCTAAAAGTTACATTGAATCTAAAAGTTACACTGAATCTAAAAGTTACATTGAATCTAACAGTTACACTGAATCTAAAAGTTACATTGAATCTAAAAGTTACACTGAATCTAAAAGTTACATTGAATCTAAAAGTTACACTGAATCTAAAAGTTCCACTGAATCTAAAAGTTCCACTGAATCTAAAAGTTACATTGAATCTAAAAGTTACACTGAATCTAAAAGTTCCACTGAATCTAAAAGTTACACTGAATCTAAAAGTTCCACTGAATCTAAAAGTTACACTGAATCTAAAAGTTACACTGAATCTAAAAGTTACACTGAATCTAAAAGTTCCACTGAATCTAAAAGTTACACTGAATCTAAAAGTTACACTGAATCTAAAAGTTACACTGAATCTAAAAGTTACACTGAATCTAAAAGTTACACTGAATCTAAAAGTTACACGGAATCTAGAAGTTAAATTGCACCTAGAAGTTACTCAGAAACTACAAGTTACACGGAATCTAAAACCAAAGAAATGAGTGAAAAAAATGTGGTGACTGAAGAAACCAAACACTGCACCAAAAAGAGCCGGAAATTTCCGGCCGGCCTGTTCCACATCCTGTCCAAATACGCTGACACCTGTTCACTGAACGGCGTCGTGTTCATCAAATCCTCCAAGAGTTTGGGCGTCAAGTTGACGTGGGCGTGTCTTCTGCTGGTGGCGTTGTGTCTCATGTCATATCACCTCTACAGGTAAGTTTTTCTTTTTGAAAATGTTTACTGTAAAGAACACACCCTTTAGAGCTTAGCTTAAACATTTTTGAAAGTAAGAAAAAAAAAAAAAGAAAAATATAAAATACTGGCAATGTTCAATTTTCACAGTAAAAAATTCTAATTCGCAATGTCTTCCAGTGTTTTCCACCAAATGTACTTGTATGCATTGAAAAGCGAACGTATAACAGTCATTTAAACTGAATCACCTGCTAGAAGGACATGAAGCAAAATAATGTAAGAAAGACGAAAACTGCTTGAACTAAGGATCCCCGTTAGTAAAATACCGCAAAAACACTGTTCACGCTGTGGTCAGAGATCACCTACTTTCAAAGCCACTATGTTCAAAGCACTTATGATAAAAGCACATGTGGTCAAAGCCCCTGTAGTCAAAGCCAATATAGTCAAAGTCCCAATGATAAAGCATCTGTAACAAAATGAATAGGCTTGCCGTTTGCAGAGGCGTAGCTAGGAAATGGCGAGTGGGGCGACCGCTACGGGCGCCAACCGTAGGGGGCGCCAATCGGGGTGGACAAAAAAAGAAATAGCTCATTTTGAGCTGCGTAACTGAATTATACACAGTCTAGATAGTTAGTCAGTCAGAAGTCCCCAAGTGCTACGGACAGTCAACTAAGTATATCTGGCTAATTTAGCTTCTGCATTGTTCTTAGACAATGAATGTTTGTCGCGGTGGAGCTTGTAGAAAGTGAGTAGTTACAGGTATGTGGGTGAGTAGATGAGCGTTCATGTTTATAATATAACTCAATGCTAGCAGTGTTATGCATTTTGATATTTTTATTAGCAACATTAACTTACATTTAGAACAACAAAACCTAAAACAATTTAGACCTTAACTTGACAAACGACAGAAAAGCTCTGATGGCTACCTATCTCACATTGGGGAAAGTAAACGCGCCTGGGCATAGTGTTGACCACATTATCCCTTCATGTGCCGAGATCGCAGAAACAAGTGAACTCTACTTCATTTGCCCCATGGACCGTCAGGTTCGAAAATTAATACATATTTTTACGTCTGATCAATGTACTAAATCACACGAAAACTGTTGTCTGTTCACGTATGTAAACAACTCCATGAATACAGCCAGGGACGAAAACAACAGCACTGTAACATACGGCAGTTGTTTTGAATATCGCCCTAATCAGCTGTATAAAACCACTGGTATCGTCGCTGATTTAAACTCCGAGTATCGTTAAATCGCATATTTTAAACCATTTATTTCCTGATCACAGACTGTCTGCCACGTACTTGGAGTACAAGAAACAAACCAAGATTGATCTGACATTCAGCAACCTCCAGTTCCCCGCCCTGACAATCTGCAACGCTAATCCGGTTCGTATGTCTATGGTAGGTCACCGTACACTAATCTTGCCCGTATGTCTATGGTAGGTGGTAGAACGCTAATCCTGTCCGTGTGTCTATGGTAGGTCACAGGACGCTAATCCTGTTCGTATGTCAAGGTTATAGTAGGTCGTAGGCCGATAATCCTGTTTGTTTATCTATAGATGTTGTTTGTAGGTGACAGGACGCTAATCCTGTGTGAATGTCTATGGTAGGTGTTAGGAAGTGATAGATAGAACGGAAGGTGATAGAACGCTAATCCTGGTTGCATTTATATGGTACGAAAAAATATCAATGACTCATAAGGTGCGGTGGAAGGAGGGGGGTTGTGGGGGGGGGGGGGGGTGAGCGAAGATAGTGGTCGAATGTATGAAATGATGCGAAGGGGAGGGAAAATTCAGAAAGTGTGACGTTTAGCATATTTTAAAACGCATAATTTTTACTAACTTATCTTCAGCAGTTGCATTGTATTTTGTCTTAAATGTTAGTGTTACGTTTAGTCCTGTAAATTCCACTAAGATAACTCTACGCCTGCTATTATTATTATGTCCGTGTTACCTTCTGTCATCTCCCACCAGAAATACCTGGCTACACCAGAACTAAACACGCTGATAGAAGCGACAGATCCTGTCCGAATTCTGGGACTGGTGGAAGAATGGGGGCAGTCCGTGTTTAGCTCACCTGTAGGAACTACGAGGAACAGGTAAAGTTGAACAATATAAACCGGATACTTTTTAGGTAAAGTTAAAAAATATCAACCGGATACCGTTTAGGTAAAGTTCAACAATACCAACCGGATACCGTTTAGGTAAATTTCATCAATACAAACTGGATACTTTTTAGGTAAAGTTCAACAATACCAACCGGATACCGTTTAGGTAAAGTTCAACAATACCAACCGGATACCGTTTAGGTAAAGTTCAACAATACCAGCAGGATACCATCTCTTTGTATATCAAATCAATAAATACCGAACTTCCGTACACATTGAAGTACTACAACGTTGACGTGGGCTAACAAGTGTGTAGTACACAATATGAGCTCAGGTGACACAACAAATCACGTCACTCCATTCGTCTCCTTAAAAAATTCCACCACGTGCAAGCCAATGACGTAATATCACGACACGAACATTTCGGTCGTAAATTGGAACTATGTAACACCATTTGAAATATATCCACAGCTTTCACTTAAACTTTTACCAAGGAAATTAATAGCCCTATTTCATTCTTCCATAGACTTATCAAGACAACTACAATCATACATTTTTCAAAGGCTTCCAAGATCGTTTACCGTACATTTCTCAAAGACTACCAAAAGCCTTTTCAACCAAAGTCCTACCATCTCAAGGTCATCCTTGCGCCACACTATCTTACTTTTCCCAAGATGCTGTGTCCCATTTTCCCTAACGTCTGTCTAGATCCCTACTACCCCATATTTAAAAAAAAAATCTGTCTAGGTCACTACTATCCTACATCTCTAAGATGCCACTAACGAAACAATTTACTCCCCATACCCTCAGGTCTGTCCATCGGCCCCACTCTCCAGCAAAAGGCAACTTCTTTGATAGCTTCGACCTCAGGATCAATGTCACTTTGCCTTGGGAAATTGAGGAAGTCTATGATTACGAGGAGTCACCAACAGATATACAGGTATCAGTGGCGTCATAACATGTATACATAGTAGCGACGTCATTTTTAAGTGGACAGGTACCATGGACAAAATGATGCAGGTAATATCAGAAAATACTTACCTGGTAAAATAGGTAATCCGGTATTTTATGCACGTAGTTGTTGTACATGTAAAACATGGGACAATTCTCACGTGACATTCAGTGAGTAATCCTAGTCAGCACAACAATGCTGCCACCTAGCAGAAACACGTACCGGGGTTGTATACTGAAACTCTTGGTGACATAGACATCTGTTGTGTCTCAGTGAGCTCTATGTGTCTGTTTAATTACATTCACACTCAGTAAAAACAAACTGTTTTAAATTGTTTAGATTCTTCATTCCATAACATCATTGGCTTTGACACGAGCAAGCTTATTTTGTCGCTTTAAAATGTTGCTAAGCGAAACACTCTTTTAAAATGTACATAAAATCTTATAGAGCGAAACTATTTTTTATTATAATACTAGGCTCTACATTAGATTTGACGTTTGTTATACATATTGAGGGTTTTCGGATGACTGGAAAGATGCGCAACGGAAAATTGCGCACAGAAAAGTGCGCACGGGTATTTTTTGTTTTCTTAAATTAAGCATTTATAGACATTAACAAAGAATGGCCATTTGTACATAATAGCATTTTAAAACACGTTTACACGAAATTTGACAAAATTAAAGTGCATTAGTATATTGTATTCGCGCATATTTGTTTTTGCGCATTTTTCCGTTTGCGCAGTTTTCCGTTTGCGCATTGTTCTGGGAATCGTGTTTTTGTTATTGTTTTGAATGTGTAGCTTCAGGCACGCAACATAGAGTTCAGTGGCACCCAACAATCAAGTGTCTACCGCTCAGAGCAGCTGTTTAAAGCGTTGCTATCATTAGAGGGCCGGTAAGTCTGACGCTAGTAATCGATATAAAACTGATCCATAGTTATAGAGGACCTTATTGAAGTTAAACAGTGTTGAACTATAGGTCTAGTATAGAACTGATCTATAACTAAGACTTTATTTAAGGCAATTTGTGTTGAACGAAACAACTGTAGTATAAAACTGTTAATTTATTTACAAAGCATGCTTGCAGTGATGTCACTTACTAATCATGCTTACAGTGATGTAATTTACAAATCATGCTTACAGTGATGTAATTTACAAATCATGCTTACAGTGATGTAAAAAGTTGTCACTTGCAAATCCTGCTTACAGTGATGTAATTTACAAATCATGCTTACAGTGATGTAAAAAGTTGTCACTTGCAAATCCTGCTTACAGTGATGTAATTTACAAATCCTGCTTACAGTGATGTAATTTACAAATCATGCTTACAGTGATGTAACATACAAATCACGCTTACAGTGATGTAGCTTATAAATCAAACTTACAGTGATGTAGCTTATAAATCATGCTTACAGTGATGTAATAAGTTGTCACTTACTAATCCTGCTTACAGTGATGTAATAAGTTGTCACTTACAAATCCTGCTTACAGTGATGTAATAAGTTGTCACTTACAAATCATGCTTACAGTGATGTAATAAGTTGTCACTTACATTCCTGCTTACAGTGATGTGCGTGAACAGATGGGTCACGTGATACAGGATATGTTGATACAATGTGCTTTTGCTGGTCGTCCCTGTACACACAAGTACGTACACATTACAAATGTATGTGTACGTCCTGATG